ATCCGAAATTGCAAATATCCGAAAATTACGGATCGGATACGGATAACAAAATCGAATATTTATGCGGATCGGATACGGATACGCATATCTCAAAAATCCGGGATATCCGATCTGTGCCCACCCCTAGTGTATATTACTGTTTTTTTATCCATAAAAAAAAGTAAAAGAGTTTGATAGGATTAAAACTATAGGAGAAATAAAAAATCTATTTATTTATGGACAACTTTAAAACATATGAAATAGATTTGGGATTCGAAAAAACACCAAAGCACAAACGATCAAATATGAAACGCTTAGTTCATAGGCTAGCTCCTTGTACATCTTCTGCCCATGATTGGTTTCTATACCAATTTTATAGAACCTAGTAATAGAGAAATATATTTCTCATTATTCAACATAGATAATTACAATATTTATAGGTAGAAAATAGAATCACAACATATCTTATTTAATCAATATAAATATAGAAAATATAGAATAAAATCAAATCTAAATATTACGTAATCTTCTCGAATCTTCTCCATATCTTTTCATACGTCCCCTCAAATTCAAGAAGATGAGAAACAACTACTTGAGGTTGAATTCTCAATAAAATAGCGAGATTTGATAATCGAATCTAGGAACCGGTGGATTGTTGGCGGATCTAAAAAAGTCCGGTGTGACGCAGAAGCGCACGTGCACGGTATTGTAGTGTAGCGCGACAGTAATGTCGGCGGCGCAAAAGGCGCGATGGTTTAGCGGCTATGTCGGAAAAAGAAAATAAATTGCGCAAATGCACGCGTCTAAAGAATTACTCTTGATACTGTAAATTATTATATGTTTTAAGACAAATTAAGTGAGATAACATTTCTCTTAAAATAATTACGGCCTTTTCATGTTGTGTTAGAATCTCCTTTGGCACAATCTGATCCCGAAAAATTCGACCAATTTCCAAAGGACTTACAGGGAGGGGTCAGATTTGTCTATCTTATTACTTACATTGTAGTGTTGGTAGATCCGAGCCATGTTCTCTGCCCACCATCTCTCCGCTTGCTTCTCGCTGAACCTCTTCCGGCTGAAATCAAAACAAGATTTTCATCGAGAATCACGCAGAGTTTTGGCACGGATCATCATTTCATATAAGAAGCTAAGTTCGAGAATATATTGGCTCGGAGACAGATTTTCCTTGGAGAATGTACATATAGCATCCCATGAGAAGGAAAGCAAAGAGGGTGTCAGGCCATGCTTGATCTAGATTGAAAACAAATGATATACATGAACTTGACTCAGTATGTCTGCATTTATTTGTTGAATATCATTATGGTTAATATCTAATCTTTGAGAACAACTCATATATTCTCGGAAAACATGGAATATAAACTATGAAAGAATCTAGAGGAGAGTGGGCGTACCTAAACCGAACCCGTTTGAGATCTCGAAATCCGCCAGGCAAGGCACTAAGAGTGATGTAAACACCAGGTTCATCTTGTTCAACCCATTCATTATCGTCAGATTCCTTCTTTCTGCTTCCTTTTTTATCTCCATTGGAAGGCCGCTGCCTGCTTAGCCTGTTTGGTTCGGGTTCTCGATAGTTGGTTTGGCCGTTCAACCAGACAGTAACAGGAGTGGAAACATCATTGGAAGCATTGTCAGATCCAAGTGAAGCTATGGAAGGAGGAGATCTGATGTTGTGTCCTGCTCCTGCTGGTAACCTCTCAGCCATCTCCTTCAACTACAAAGTTTGGTCGTGGAGATTGAACCAAATGAGTGTTGTAAATTCGTATCATCTCGAAACTTACAAGTGAAGAGACTTGACTCAAATTTATAAAGCAAAATCATATATGCCACTGCTAAACAAAAAGAACAGAGATACGGTCGTTTGGATAGCTAGAAACATCATTTTTCTATTGGGGCATTAGTCCTAGAATGAAAATAGTTATTGCCTGTATATTGAAAACTGTTTGACTGTTCGAATTGTCTGCTACATTGTATTCAAATCCGTGTTCAGTGATCAACCGTGTTCAACTTGTATGGTGAGAAGCAAAGATATACAAGAAAGCATGCCAAGATTTCTACAGGCAAAACCCTTCAAAGTTCACTATCATGTTTCTTTCAGGCGTTTATGACCGTGCATGCATGACACATCGACCAAAATGGAAGTGCCACAAGTATCTTACTTGTCACACATATAATAATTTGAAGCGGAAATTTTTGCAGAGGAAACACGTATCTTACTTGTGCAGTAAGTGATTTAATCACTTCTTTTGCGGCTTTGCATTTTGCAGTCTCTTCACTAGCAACAGCTATTGCCTCCTTCAGCTGTACTGTGGCTCTCTGCAGCTCCACTTCTTGAAGCTGAGACTTACGAGTAAGAGTCTCTACCTGACATAGCAATCAGGCAAGTCACTGGGAGGTAACAAAAGAAGAAAAACAAAAGCTAGGCCTTTTAAACCTTGAACCCGGCATCAACTTTCCAAAAATATGTATTGCAAGTATAAAGTCACTAGATAATATAATACTTAATACCACAACATATGATACTTAATCCAAAGAATTAGGTTGCTTCCAACAGAACTACAAGGTCAGTAACTTCAGTTGTAGAACTTTTGGGTGGGGAATAGAGAGCAATTACACACACCTGAGTCCTTAATTTGGTAACTTCTTGGGTAAGGCTATGATTGGTCATAGCATCATCAACCACAAATCTTGGCGAAGTCAATCCTGTTAGAGTAGGAGTGGGTGTTGTTGAACGTGGTGGACTGAGCCGTCTAGATACAGGTGAGCTTGCTCGAGAGACTGCTCTAGATCCAGGAACAGAAGCTGAGAAAAACTTTTTGGATGATATAATATTTGAATTCAAAGATCTAGTAATGCTCAACCCACCCCAAAGGGGGCCTCTATTAGGCACAGGTGAAACATGAACACTACTAAATTCTAACTTTTTATTTCTCTTAGACCGTGTATCTGGTGGTCTCGGAGCATCCATGGAAGAAAATATAGCTAATTGTCCGCAAGATCTAGAATCCAACTTTTCGTCCTTGTCAACAAATTCAGCAGTTGCTTGTGTGAGTCCTCCCCTTCTGCTAATTGAAGAATGTGACGAAGCATCAGCTTCAAACCTTTTTGTTAGTTTATTATAACAGTTGTCACAAACCCGATAAGGTTTGCTAGGATTCGGAGCCATAGAGGCCTTGAGCATCTTCTTGCTGCTGCATGAATGGCAGAAGACCAGCCCACAATTGTAGCAATTATGACGTTTTCTTTTAAAATTGAATGGTAGGCGGCAACCAGAACACATGGACTGGTCAATCCCAGAGACCCCTTTATGGAGACAGATTGCTGCGGTAAAACTGGTACCACAGGCAATACTTCTGACTTGCTTGTTCTTCAGAGCTTCCACTAACGTTGGAGAATTTCTGTCATTTGTATCCCCGTGTCCTAATCTGCCATTTGCTCCCTTGCCCCAAGTATACACTTCGGTTCTTGAAGTCAGCACTGCAACATGATAAGCCCCACAAGAAATCTCCTCCACGAAACTCTTTGAGAGCTTACCTTCAACCCGGCTCGGAGTCTTCCCATCTGCTTTTAGATTTAATTTATCGCCATAAACAGGGCTACCTATGGTATAGACATTGCCTGATGTTGTAAGTGCGACCGTAAAACTATATCCACAAGCAACTTGACAAAAATTGGGTTCCACAAGGGCAGCAACACAAGTGGGCACAAGTTTTGGCTCTTTGTCTCTGTGCCCTAGCCGACCTTTGTCACCATCACCCCAGGTAAAGAGCTTCCCCGAAGAGCAGTTGCCTGAGCTCGGATTTCCAACCATAACTTCCACAACGGCAGCAGTGTGCCAAACACCACATGCTGCTCGGACAGTACGTAGACCCTTCAGAGATTCAACCTCTCTCGGTATCGAAATGCTTCTTCGGTTTCCATGACCAAGGACACCAAAGGTTCCATCACCAAAGGTAAATAACTGCCCAGCTGAACTGACAACAGCTGTGTGGTAGGGTCCACATGAGATATATGAAACATGTATCCCTTCCAAGGGCCCATTGACTCTCTTTGGCATCCAGTGACTAGCTTCGTTTCCATGCCCAAGAACACCAAGATTCCCATTGCCCCAGCTGTACAGCTCACCAGAAAGAGTAACTGCACAAGTATGGTACTCTCCACATGCCACTAATTCAATATTTGTGTTAATGAGAGCATCAACTAGCTTTGGTTGCTGAATGTCAGAATCTATACCATGCCCAAGCCTGCCTCCAGATTCCTCACCCCACGAGAAAAGCTCTCCATGTTTTGTGACTAGTGCAGAATGCTGCCCTCCACAAGCTATGTTCTGTACATCAAGTACAACAGCCGATTCCAAAGATTTTGGCAACAATGAATCCATTTTGACGCCAGCACAGCTTCCTGTTCTCTGAGTTCCACCACCCAAAATGCCCTCCCCAGCTCCCTCTCCCCAGATGTACACATCTCCAAGTGCATCACCATCATCATGACCAGAACCCTGGCTTGATGAGCTAATAACACTTGATAAACTCACTCTGAAAGTATCTACCGAAATTCCCTTCATCTGACCATGAATACTCTCTGAACCTCTGGATGAAAAAGAATAAACTGAGCCACCGGCAGATTCATGAGGCAGAAACCCCTTAGGACCGCCACCAAAAAATATCATGTCCGCAAATGCCTTGTCAATGCCATTTTTAGGTGGACTACCAAATGGACTGCGAAAGTTTAGGTGATCAGAACCATCCTGAAGATTATGGTGGACCCTTTTAGCTTAAAATTGTAAAATTAATGAAAAGCATCTTAGATATTCCAAGTACCTGCTGGGAACTGTTGTTACTAAATGGAGAATGTAAAGGAGAGCTTCTTCGTGTGTATGTTCTAGGGCTACTTGCTTCAGACACAGCTCCGTCACTTCTGGATTGTGCTCTCCGTCTCCTGTGATGACTACTTGAAACCAAGGCTTTCAAACCAGTAAACCACACCTCAGCTTCATCTTTGTCCTTGCATATCTACCAATACAAGCAATCACCAGGTCAATGGGCATGCACAAGTAGAGAATAATTAATTTTGGCCAACAAAATCACCGCTAAATATCTGAAGAGAAAGCTATTACACCAAATTCTTACCAAATCCAGTGATCTGTCATTGTATATGAGCGAAAATGACTGATACTCCTTCTCCGGTCGTGGATATCTTTGAAAGATAGGCTGACAGGAAATAGGAAAGATAGGAGTCTACATCATTGCACATCAATATAATATGGTATTCACTTGGATGCCAATACTAACCAAATGACTCGACACATAAAAACAAAATACCACAAAAACACAAAGCATAGGCACAATTCCCTTTCAAGCTGGCTTTCAAGGGTGAGATTTTTTCCAAAGGAGAATGGAGATTGATTTGATTGGGAAATTCAATTTCAACTAGTAGAGCCAAAGCCCGCGGTGAAGGTTCATTATGCATTAAAATGACAGAGAAAGAGATGACCAGGACAGGATAGGGCAAAACAAGTAAAGTGGGCCACAATGACATGCCGCAGGGGACATTTGCGTTGAAGGGTGTCTGTGGTGTTTTGTAATCCCACTAAGACTAAGAGATTGATAGATCATTAGGTTAGGTACCCCTCCCTCACAACTAACTTTTAAGGACGAGTTCCACCCAAGGACTAGTTCGGACGTAGTATGAGGGTCCACATACAGTTTTTTTTTGTTTTTGAAAACAGCTACAGTAACATGTTACCAAGAGTTCTAAATTCAAATCAAATGAATGACTGCAATTTATCACTACCATGTCCATACATCTGGTATAGCCTTAAATTCAACTTTTTAAGTATCTAATTCGAGATGATTTTAAGTTTTGGCACAAAACAATACTTTAGAACATGCAACCATGCTTCAGCTGAATCCACAGAATAATAGCAACAAAGTGATATAAGAAGATACCAAATGGTGAAAGGCAAAATGATAAGGAAAATTATGCATCAAATATTAAAAATAGAATCATATGTAGAAGCTAACTTACGGTGCGCTGTCCTGATATGATTCTAGAAATATGGCTCAGTTTAAGATGTTTCTCTTCTTTCCCCGAGATCCATATCAAGACAGATTCATCCTGAAAAACAAAACAAGTTAGCAGGAAAGAATGCATAAATACATTTCACAACTTCAGAACAGGCTTACATTAGAAAGGCGGAATGGACAGAATTTGGGCTTTCCTCTTCTTCCATATTTGAGCAGATAAGCCCCTTTCTTCAGAGCGGTGATTGCCTGTTGCGAAGACACAATCTCAAGTGTCACTCGATTTATTATGATTCCAAGATTTTCGTGGAGCATTCCAACTAGCAGAGGCATCAACATTGATATAAGGAGAAGTGAAGCACGGTCAAATGGATTCAGGAAAATTAAGCCATAAAGCAGTAATGCAGAGGATTGTGCATCTCCATGGATAAATTCCGGCAAAAAAGATTTTCCCATTTGCTGTTCCTTTCCGTTCTCCATGAATTTACAGCCATGTAGCATCGAAGCAACTAAGATCAACATACGGTTGCATCCACAGAGGTTTAGAGGATTGCCCACGTAACTTCTGTATACAATCAATGATACCCAGAACGAGATCTCGCCAATGCTCAATGGTTACTAAACTTACATTCCATAAGCCCTTGATTCAGCTATGGTAATAACACTAGCTTTTCTCCAGAAACAATTTCAACCTCAACTAGAGTGAACAAGGGTTAATCAAACTAATAGATTTAACATGGAAATTCAAATGCACCTCCCTGAAGAGACTATAACAAAGCAGACCAAACGGATTCGATTCTATAACTCGCAAATAAATCGCTACCCAAGAAACAGCAAATGCAGCGAAATTGGCAAGAGTCGAAATTAACATAACCTGCTCGACATCCCTTTCTACAGTGCCGGACCGGCTAGGATCCGAAGCCATATGATCGGTCCTCAAAATTAGAGAAAAAATATCACGCAAAGACGATGTCGGAAACTAGCGAAGGGCCAAAGGGTTGAGCCACTCATCCATTCTCAAAACAGGAAAAATCCATTCATCAAGTTCCCGAAACGCCGTGTGACGGAAACGCAGTCAAGCAATTCCGAGACTCTCCAGCGGCAATTTACTTGTGCTTTGATCTTGGCGAAGGAAAAGGATCAGTGGAAACAGAAGAACAGATGGTTTTGGAGGGTTTGGGAGGAGGAAAAACAGCAGTGGTGCAGACGGGAGAAGGGTTTCTGAGCTGAGAAAAAGTCAATAAAGCGCGAGAAAATCTGGGAAAACAACATAGCACGATCTAAGTTTGACGAGGAAAACAACATAGCAAGGTTTTGATGGTGCGGGTGACACGAATGAAGGGGAAAAGAACAATTTCGATAATATAATAATTAAATAAAAACACATAAAATAATAGCTGCTGCAGAGTTCGACACGTGTTGTGTGATCTCCAAATATGTAAATTTTATGGCTTGGGGTTCAATCATCCGTAATAATGTATAATATAAGAAACTTAATCATAATTCTTTTTATCTATTTTAAATTTATAATGTTTTGTAAAGATCTCTTTGTTTTTAAAAAAAAATAAAATCCTAAAATATGTAAAATAAAAAAACATATACCCCTTCAATTCTTATCTATATGAACACTCTTGCAAATTATTTAATAAATTCTCAAATCCTTTCCTTTTCGTTTTATCATAATGCAGTAAAAACATCCGAAAATACGTCATATTCATCTTTACTGCCAAATAGCCGCCATCACGGACAAACCCTACGGAATTGGGTGCCGCAACCAAACCTCCAATTAAACGGAGAACCGACAGTTTTTTAATTATAAAATATATAAAGCTAACTCAAATTAAACCCTTAATTGAAATCCAAACTCAAAACATAAAGATAGAGTAGACATTTCAAATTATAAAATATAATAATGATACTATCATCCTAATAAAAGTTGGAAGCAACCTGCGTTGCAGCTGCAGCTGTTGTAGATCTGAAATTCTCATGCATATAACATTTTCATGCCATAATAATCATTGGAAACAAAATCGTTTCCCCACTTCTTTCACCTAACATTAACAAACACTTTCTGGGGCTTATTTATATTTCTCCTCTGTTCATTCGTCCTTTTTGTTCGATTTCGTGTCACTCTCTTCTCTAGATTCGTCTACCATTTTCGATTCATCAAAGTCCATCAACTGCAGATTTCGAAAGTTCAAATGCTTTGTCAGTATCATCGTTGCATGTGGGATCCAGTTAGTTGATAAAATAGCATATAAGTTTAGATTCGAGTTCGGTATTAATTGAGGCCGGAAATGAAGCAAAGTTTGTGACAATGAACCGGTTTAATGCCATCATTCCAAATGCAATGAACTGCCAAGACCCCGATAACGGATAAAATTATGTATAACAGAGCAGACTGAAAGAAAAAAGCAAAAACATGAACGAACTACAGCTGGTTCATCATAAGAATCTATAAAGCACCGTAATGAAGATTGTTCATTAAACAACTTTGATTTTCCAACAGATTTCATTTCACCAGATATGCTCAAAGGCGTAAAAACTGAGAAACCAAGTTTAATTGACTTGTTCAATCTGACTACCTTCAATTTTCACCGATGATCATACGAAAAAAAACAAGGAATCTGTAGTTTGTACAAAATATATATAGTGCTTTCAAATGATTATGCTAGTTTCTAACAGCATCTGTGACAAACTAGACAAGATTTTAGAGGACAAACTGGTTTCCTTTACTTCTTGAATGAATAGATATGACAAATTTGTTATGCAGATTAGCAACTTACCAGGAATGATAATGTCTCCAAGCCCAAGCATAGAATAAGGTCTAGCAGCATCAGCAGTAGGAAATAGAAGCTTAAGCAAAAAGAAATTGTTCCAACAACGAGTACTGTTAAAATTACCCAACAAACGCATTGATAAATCAAAAAGAAGAGCAATAAACATTAATATTTGTTAATCAAAAGGTAACTACTAACCTTTATATGATCATCAAAAGATTTTGCAACACTAACCATAACCAGAGTGAAGAAAACCCGAAAAATATCGTAAACAAAAAGTCCTGCCTGCATTCAATGACCAGACACTGATGAACTAAAACAATAGAAACATCTATAAAGGCTCCACAACCGGCTTTTCCAGGACAAACAGACAAGAGATACGAGAGGGAAATTCAAAACAGGCAGAACATTACTCCCTTCTTACCAATAGGATAGCACCAGTCTTAAAAGATCCAAGAGAGAACATTTCAATTCCCTGTAATGGTTTAACTGTTAATAACATGTACCATTACAAAATGATTAAGGAAAATTTTAAAATTCAGAAGTTTGACATATAAAAGTGTTTTGGGTTCAACCCAAATGCCCACCAATATCTTTCAATAAACATCAGTCAGAAAAATACTTGTTATTCGTCCAATTTTCTTCTTCAATTCATAAACTTCATTATATTTATCAGGTTGAAACACAAACTAACCATAATGCAGAATGAGAGACCGAGTATATTGTTAGCTAGCCAATGCTTTCTCCAAGCATACCATGCACAGAAAAATGTTTCGGGGATCGCAGCCACAACCTCCGATTTGGTGAACCCTATCTCCATAGGTGTCAAGAAAAAAAATTATTCTGCATGGTGACACAAGCAAGATCATCAAATGGGTGCCGCAAAACAATAACTGAATAAAGTAGAAACAAGACCAATTAGCGTACAAGAAGCTAAAAACGAAAATGAGACTCAACAAAATAAGTAGCAGTTAAAGATGCAGGTGTTAAACTACAAACATGACGCTAAGAGAAATTAGGAAACCTAAAATCACATTGCAGTTATTTAAACAAATATCAAAACTTCAAAAGAACAAATAAATCATGATAGAATAACATAGAAAGTTAATGATCCAAAAGAAAGGTGAGTAGAGTGAGCAAAGATTACATATACACTGAAAATAAGGAAATCTCTAGACAACAACATTGTCATTCGAAGGCTGTGGCAAAAACCTTTTGACAGCTAGTAAAAATGTTGTCCTGAAAAAACACAAAATTTATTTTAGGTCACAACAACAGTTCATTGACTTGATCACGTGTAACAGAAACTAAAAAAAATAAGGAGAAGATACATAATTCCAAAAAGACATACGAAAGAGTTATGATCCCAAGCACAAAGAAGTAGGCTGTAAGGACAGCATTGACCAAGTTCTTCGACATAAACTTGAACAAAAGGAAAAGGGATAGCAGACAACACTTCCGACAAGTGGAAACCTCATCGCATGTTCGTTAGACGTCATAGTCTCCTGCATAAAGACCAAATAACAAGCATTCAAGTGACGGTCCATCCACTGTATAACAAAATGAGTAATCATGATATCATATAGTTACAAAATCTAGTTTGATGTCATACCGCTGGAGGAATAGGCTTTACAGACCGATAGCAACCCACATAAACTGTGAGGCATGCTGTCAGAATAACATTCAAATTCGGATCTACTTTGACAACAAGTGGTGCCAACATCAAAACTGCAGCAAAACCAGCCCCATTACAGTAAACCTTTATCGGATTTGCCAAAAGTACTGTCATTTAACCATTTTCGTTCATGGAAATCACATCCTCACACACCAATTATTCCCAGATAAATGAAGTCGGGGTTAATCAATGCGAAGTTACAAGAAAATTTTGTAAGAGGGCCACTAGCGTAATCGGAAAAACACCTAAACCCTAGAAGAACCCAACTAAATCCGAGACTCCATCAACGAGCGAGAATAAAACCCTTGAATCAGATTCCAAAGAAACCCCTAAAAACACTATCAAACTAACCATCATGCATATCCTCGATCAAAAAATCAATATAAGAACAACCGTTTTCATTGCAACGAATAATGCTCAGACAGAGAAATTCGGATAAGAAAACATTCTTCTAACCACGACAAAAACCAATGTTAACCAAAATCGAAAATAGCGAAAGAATTGAATCAAAGCCAAGACGCGAAACCTGCAAGAGCGAAATTAGCGATTCTCTCACAGTTCTTCATCCTCGTTCCTCCGTTCTAAGACATGAAATGTCCAGCTTCCGGAAACAAGATATCAAAACCAAACCCTAAAGAAACCAAAAACAGTTATACTGACGAGATTTTGACTAGAGATTATAGACAACAAAGATCCGATGATGGGCCCAAGCGCTGAAATTGCACCAGATCTGATTAAAAAGCGAGAAGAAGTGGGAAAATGAGAAATGGCGAAACGAAGATATTTGTCGAGAATATAAGATCACAGACCGTGACGGATAAATTACGTGACCGACGAACATGATTGGTTTGTAAAAGTGTAATTACAAATTTTTCGAGTTTGATTGGTTGATGGAAATGACATTTCATCGCCAAAGCAAAGGCGTAAGCGATATTGTTCTTGTTCGCCCTTAAACGATATTTTTACAACTGTTTAGAGGACACATGTCAGAAGCATTGACTGTTGGCTTTGTTGAATTGGTGACCTATCATTGGTCAATCACACGTGGCTTTTGACATATCTTTAAAAAATTCCAATGGCTATATTCTTTGGGAGACGTAGATGTAGTCGCATCAAAGGTAGGGTCGGAGAATATTTGGACAAATTGGTAGCGTGGAAAACAGTTGATGTCATCATCTAGAAACAAATCGGTAGTGTTGGTTAATGTGATCTGGTTTTCGCCATCTTTTTGCATTGGTAGATGTACAATTCAGATTTTTGCGATTCATTAACGGTGAAAGAGTAGAGAATGTATCGGCTATTATGGTCCAGAATATGTGCATTGATGTTGGACCGTGAAGAGAATAAAATGCGCTGTCCATGTTTTCTATTTCAGAACTTCGCATGGTATGCTTTTGAGTTACATATAAGTTTTACTTGCAATAATAGAATATTTTATTGATATAAAATATAATCTTATTTAATTAATATAAATATTTAAAAATATAAAAATAAAATCTAATATAATATTACGTAGTTGTCTATATTCAATAAATGGATGAGTTTTGATCTATTAGTCTCTTTTATATAATCAAACAATATAACAAAGATAAGTATATCTAAAATTAGATGGTTCAACTAATAAAAAAAAGAGTAAAGTCCCAATTCGAATCTACATTTGAATAGTGTTATTCACATTTACATTTCTAATATTTTGAGAGATTTAGTTGGATCGAAAATGTGGTGAACTTTTGGATTATAAAAAAAACAAAGATAATGATAACGATTTTGGATCCCCAAATCCAAAAATCAAAACTTCAAATAATCAAAGGATTGAAAAAGAAATATTTGAAATTAATAAAATTGGTAACATGCAATTTTGTTTTTAATTCTAATGCTACATAAATCAAATTATTCACCTAAAACGACAGTTCTTGGAGATGAATACATATTAATGGTCCTTCAAATCCATTGCATGTTCCAAGACAAGGATTTGTGCATATAACTCCGGAAATTAAAAAAGAAAATAATCATGATAAAAGTATATGATTATATCTTCAACATGAAAGCATTTATATTTTCCTCTCAAAAGTAATAATGACAGCTGACGTCAACACATTCCCTTTGAATAAGCTAAAATTTTAAACATGGGGTATCAAAAAGGATCAACAAAAATATAATATATATACACACAAATATCAACTTGAAATGACCGAATTTAAATTCATCGTAACCGAATAAATCGAGTCCAAATTGTGTAATCGAATAAGCCAAACCAAACCTTTTGTACACCGATTAATACACATTATATTCTACATAGAGAAATTATCATAATTAAGTATATAATTAAAGTGGGACCTTTATTATGTTTCCTTCAACAATGTTATTAAATTCGGTTCATTTACCATTATAACCGTATTTATATTTATTTGCAGTTTTAACCAGATATAACCGAGAAATAACCGTACCGATTAAAACCAAATAATCATTTGGTTATCAATTTCTAAAACTCGGATTAACCCTAATCCAATCGGTTCGTCCACCCTAACTTTGACGCGGTAGGTAGAATAGAAAGGTCTCGTCATGGCGTTGAAGTTGGTCCGGAGCCATCTTCTTAATCTGTCCGAAGATTTAATATCATGTCCCATAAACCATGATAGTGAAGCAATTCTTGCATCTTCGACTGTCTAATAGATTCAGCAAATTAAAAGTTTTATGACTTAGATGTTATTATATATAAAAAAAATTATATATATAGAAAGAAAAAAATATATCGCAAAACAAAGTAAGAAAAAAAAATCCAACACCAGAAAATAGGGGTGGGCACGGGTCGGGTACCCCCGTTTTTTGGGAAACCCGATCTCGGTCTCATCATCACGGGTTTTACGAAAAAATTATCTCATTCTTGACTTTATGAGATCCGGGTACCCCTAAACCGGGTTCAATGAGATTCTCAGTCTCGTACTCAGGGGTACCCGGATCTCGTAAATAAATAATTCAAATATTTTATAATTTATAAAATTCAATAAAAATAACTTAAACAACATTCAAAACTCGATTTTATAAATTATAAATTCGATTTCATAAATTATAAAGATTGAAAATATAGAAAATAATTAAATAAAATAAAAATATTTTAATAAATAATAAAATACCTTAGATAAATGTTATAAATATAAAGATATTTTTAATTTTTAATTAATATACCGGGTACCCGGGGTACCCGTTAAGAGTTAATCGAAATCCGAATCCGGACCCGGGGGTCAAAAACTCGGCCTCGTTAAACCCGGTCTCATCATCGTTAATATCCGGGTACCCTTTCTCCGGGTACTTGTTAAGCCGGGTACCCCAAACCTCCGGGTTATGGGTTGAAACGCCCACCCCTACCTCATTATAATTCATTAATCATATGGACTTTCTTTTTTCGGAAATGAAAATTATTTCCGT